GTGTGTGTGTGTGTGTGTGTGTGTGTGTGTGTGTGTGTGTGTGTGTGTCTGTTTTACGTTATCAGCCAGTTAAAGAGATTTAAGTTTAATTCTTTTCAAGATGGGACAGAACAGAGGTGCATTAAAGCTAAGCTTCTGCACCGAGCAAACACCACCCTCGGCATTCTGTATTAAACTGACTAAGTGTGCGTGTGCGTGTGTGTGTGTGTGTTTGTGTGTGTGTGTGCGTGTGTGTGTGTGTGTGTTTGATTGAATGTATTTTCACAGGAAGCACTTTTGGTCCAGCTGCAGTGTTAGTAACTTGTTCAGCCGGGCTGCTTCAGCCTGCTTCAACCATCAGAATAAAATGTTTCCTTTCTGTACCTCCAAAGCACTTTGGCCCCGCCCACACTTTTGTCTGGAATCGATGTGGCGTTCCCCATGTGCTGCCTTGAATCAGTTTGTATCTCATAACTTCTATTTTTGGGGACCTCCCTCCCCCCCAAATTAGGATTTGTTCTCAGTAGAAGTTGCTGCCGCTCCTCCCTGTCTGACTTTTGCATTGCGTTAAAACCCACATGAGCTCAGGAACCTTTCCAAAAGTCATTGTCAACACAGTTCAACGTGCCACCCACGAATGCTAGTTAAAGCTCTATCGTGCAAAAAAAGATGCTCTCGTCTCYTTATTTCAAATAAACTGAGGTAAAGTGGAGACCTGTTGTGTGGTCAGATGATCAAACTTGAAATTTGTTTGGAAACTTTAATGCCCGTGGGGCCAACAAAGAATAGTGGAACTAAACTCTGTTAAACGTTTGCCTCTCTGATAGTATAGAGGTGCATTAATGTTTATGGTATCTGGAAAGGCAGCGTTATAATGAAGTATATAAAGGTTAAACATGCTCACATTCAGATGATGACTTTTTTTTTTTAAGAAACAGACTTTCTGGTTTCTCAGAGTCTGGGTGCTGAACTGGTCTGCCTGCAGTCCACACCTCTCTGAATGGGTTTGAGATTTTTCCCGTCATTGTGTTCAGTTATTTCTTTTACGTTTTATACGATGTCCTAACTTTTTCAGAAATGGAACTCAGGCCAACAAAGCCTTTCTCTAAAAGCCTTATCTGAGGAGCAGAGACGTGATGAAACCCTCGGGCCTCACACACACACACACACACACACACACGCGCTCACATTTTTGCAGGCTTGTACAAACCAGGGAGATTAGCTCGCAGCGTGTTGAATCAAGTGTGAAGGTCGGGGCTTTTGGCCTGTTTGTTTTCAGAGAAGCTCTCTGTGATGTGAGGGCTGTTAACAGCAGCACCACCAGGGGCAGCATGAAACCACCACGGAAGGCCAGTTCAGCTGGAAACCAAACCTTATCCTGAAAACAAAGTCAGCACCTCGTTTTTTTTTTTTTTTTTTT